AAGACGTACAAACGTAAAGACAGAGGCTTAGGAAAAGCAAAATGAGAGAGCACAGCCTGAGAGAGGGAGGGTTAGCACCAAACAGTGTAGGAGGAAAGGAGTGGGAAACCAAGGGATTCAAGTGACCAAAAGATAACGAGCTATGAAAACTGTGAAAAAGGACAGGTCAGCACACAGAAGCACAGTAGGAGAGATTCCAGGAGCCTCTGCCTACGGATGAGAAGAAATGAGACAAAACCCCAACATGGAGAGTCAGGGGGGCTGGCAGAAGGCTTCGCACGCTTGGGTGCTGATGCAGAACCAGAACAAGGGAGCCAGGTCTAGCAAGAAAGATTGAGCTGGGTTTTCTTCCTTCCCAGCCTCCAAAACTGGACTCAACAAGACAGGAGAGCTCTCCCTGGGCCTCAGTGGTGTGGTGTCTGACTCAGCCAAGAGGGCAGGTGAGCAGACTGAGATCCTGATGGACGTGTGTGTGTGTGTGTGTGTGTGTGTGTGTGTGTGTGTGTGTGTGTGTGTGTGTGTGTGTGTGTTGGGGGCGGCATACAGAGGAGTGTGTGATACAGTGAAAGATCCAGGGCAATGGAGACTCTGGGAGACTCTAGAGAGAGAAACCGAGCAAGGGAAAGGTTAATGGAGTCGAATCTGTGACCTCTCTCAATGGCCACCGCGTACAGAGCCCTGTGTGATGTGAATGCTGAGAAATTCAGAGAATGCTTGGCTCTGGTGACAAGGTCAGAGACAAGGTCAGCTCCATAGCAGAAGAGAGTTCATTCACTGACCTTGACCCTGGGGCTTGGGACACGCTGATGAGGACATTGTGCTGGTCTTGGATGCAGAAGAGGAATCCAGTGGTTCAGAGTGAGGGTGCAGGGCATTGCTGCAGACTAGCTGTGCACTTATAGGGCTGGCCACCTGGGTTCCTCTCCCTCTTATCCTCCTTGCTATCTCTCAGGTGAGCTTGCCCGATTACGTGACCCCCTCCCTCTCCCTCCCCCAGGCAGACAGGAGCTTCTAGTTTGTTACTATGGCAGCCATCTGTAATAAGGCCAACTATTCATTCTTGAGGCCTGACCATTCCAAGTGTGTCCCTGGGGAGTAGTGTTACTTGGTCCTTTTTAAGGATCCCTTGGGAGGCTGTGTTCATGGAAAGTGGCCTGGAGGGCTAAATATATTTCCAGGTTTTCTTGAGAAATTGGTGTTCATCTGTAGCTAAGAGACCTGGTAAATATGATCCTTGTACCCCCACCTTTAAGTCAGGAAGTCCTTTCACTCTTTAAAAAATATTTTTGAGATTATAATATAATTACATCATTTCTCTCTTCCCTTTCCTCCCTCTAAACCTTTCCATATATCCCTCCCTTTTCTCTTCCAAATTCATGACCTCTTTTTCCATTGATTGTTATTGCATGAATATATATTCCCAAATATAGTCTGTTACATCCATATAATGTTTCTTGTGTATATGTTTTCAGGGCTGACCATTTGGTACTGGACAAGCAACTGGTGCGCTCATCCCTGAGGGGGGGTCACCTCTCCTGCTCCCAGCTTTCCTCAGTTGCCTGTAGTTCTTTGTGTAGGGTTGAGGCCTCGTGGGTTTTTCCCCATCCACTTTGGCATACTCATTAGTGTCCACCCTGTTTGGACATGTTTAGGTGGTCATGTTGGTCTGACTTTATTGGTATAGTTTCTGATGTTGCTAGAAGACATAATCTCATAGAAGAGTCCCTGATCTGTTGTGGAATAGAATATTTGTTTAACGATGTAAAGATGTGTTGCATTTGCTTATGCTGCATTTGTTTGACTATGTAAAGGCATGTTGTATTTGTTTTAGTTTGTCTGCTTAAGGCACCTGATTGGTCTAATAAAAAGCTGAACAGGCAATAGCTAGGCAGTAGAGGGATAGGTGGGGCTGGTGGGCAGAGAGAATAAGTAGGAGGAGGAATACAGGTTCAAGAGAGAACGAGGGAGGAAGAGGGAGATGCTGGGGTCAGCCAGCTGGGTGGCTGCCAGACAAACATGGAGGGAGCAGGAAAGTAGAACATACAGAATGAAAGAAAGGTAAACACCCTCGAGGTAAAACGTAGATGAAGAGACCAGGTTAAAATAAGTTATATACGAGCTAGTGGGACAAACCTAAACTAAGGCCAAGCATTCATAACTAATAATAAGTCTTCGTGTCATGACTGGGGGGCTGGCAGTCCCAGAAAGCCTACTATGCTGATCCACTGGCTCTTACAATCTTTCTCTTCCGCAATGTTCCCTGAGCCTGAGGTGTGGGAGTGTGTTCTAGATTGAGACTGGGGCACCACAACTCTGCTTATGATGGGTTGTGGTTTTGTGTAGTGGTCTCTATCTGTTTCAAAGAGAAGTTTCCTTGATCAGAGGTAAAGACTACACTTGCCTATGGATAGATGGGAAAATGTACAGATTGCTGGGAGGGATTATGGTGGTTTGGCAATTTAGTGGTTGTAGGTTCTCCCCCATTAGCCATGAATCCACTAGCACTGAGAAGTTGGCCAGGTTTCCAGTACCAGGCATGGTCTCCCTCTTGTTGAGTGGATCTTACATACAATTAGAGAGCAGTTGGTATCACCACAGTATGTGTGCCACTACAGCGCCTTAGGCTTATGGGGCCATCCTGGTTGTTGATGTGCTTCCTAGATGTCGTAGTTAGGTAGGATTTTTCATTGCCTGCCTTCTTTGGAAGACTGCATGGCACCTTCTGGTACCGTGAAAACCAGTCCTCAGAGAGGGGACATTCAGGTCAGTTCAGCTCAGGGACCGCTGGGCCCTGTTTCCCAAGTGCATGGTGTCTTCAGCAATAGGGACTAACCTTCCACTTCTGGGGGTTGTAGAGTGGCAACCTAGGGCACTAGCAATAGGCTGTATGTTTTGGGGAGTCTCTCAGGCATCCCTGGCTCACAACTTAAAATCTCATGTCTGATACTGGGAGTTTTGTTAGGTGGTCTTTGACTCTTGGAGGGAGTGCCATCAGCTTAGATGGGAAGAGTTCATTAAAACTATATATGTATATTTATACACTGAATCACATTACCGTATGGGATTTTTTTAGGTAAGTAGTTAACAGTACGATGTCTTGAGGCTCTTCAGCCATTCATATTGCTTTTTCACTCCCCCTCCTTCTTTTGTGTTTACCCCTCCCCCTTCCCTAAGGAGCCCCCCTTTCCATTTCCCCATCATATCTGTTGTAGCCTATTCCTCTTTACCCTCTTCTCACCTCCTTCTGTATTTACCACCTTCTCCCTCCCTAAAGAGCCCCCTCCTCCCACTTCCCTGATCTTATACTTGTACCCCTCTCTATTGTCCCCAGCCCCCCATGCTGGCAATCATCCCATTTCACTTTCCTGGTTTATGTAGTTACTACAGCCCAGTCTGTGTATTCACATCTGAAGATTTGGAGCCTCCCAGAGAGAACATGTGACATTTGTCTTTCTGGGCCTGTTCCATCCACGAACCTGCAAAGTTCACGATTTCCTTTTTCTTTACGGATGACTAGTATTCCACAGTGCATATGAGCCACAATTTCCTTATGTACTGATGGATTGTAGGACACTTAGGTCATTTCCATTTCCCATATATTGTGAATAGAATGGCAATGAAAATGTCCGAGCAAGTATCTGAGCAGTAGGATGTTGAGTCCTTTGGGCATATGCCAAGGAGTGGTGTAGCTGGGTCACTGGTAGATTTGTTTTTAGCTTTCTGAGAATTCTCCATACAGATTTGGAACCCCGCTGACAGCGAATGAGGGCTCCCTTTTCCCCTCATCCTCTCCAGCATTTGTTGTCTGCTGTCTTGACGTTTGCCATTCTGACTGGGGTAAGATGAAATCTCAAGGTTGTTTTGATTTTCATTTCCCTAATTGCTAGGGATGATGGATATTTTTTGAGATATTTCTTAGCCATTTTTCCCTTCTTTTAAGAACTCTCTATGTCTCAGGCCCATTTTTTTTGAATGAGTCCTTTTTTTTTTTTTTTTTGAGTCTTTGCTGTTTGAATTCTTTGTATAATCTAGATAATAATCCCCTGTCAGATGTACAGTTAGAAAGGATTCTCTCCTTTTCTGTGGGCTTCCTCTTCACCTGGATAATTGTTTCTTTTGCTGTGCAGAAACGTCTTAGTTTTATGAAGTACCACCTGTCAATTTTTGTCTTTAATTCTCGGGTAATTGAGTCCTGGAAGTTTTCTTCCTACGCTTACATCATGCAGGGCGCTGCCTACCTTTTCTTCTCACCGTTTCAATGTCTCCAAAAGTTTCAGTTTCAGCTGTGTGTTCCATGTGATGTTACTTTTTGTGCAAGGGGATGGGTACAGGTCTGATGTCATTCTTCCGCACGGGGGTGTCCAGTTTCACCAGCACCGTTTGTTGAAGATGCTTTCTGTTTCCAGTGTATGATTTTTTTGGCAGTTTTGTCAAATTATTTAGTGTCTGAAGTTACATGGGCTCATGTTTGGGTCTTTGATCTTCTTCTATTGGTCTAAGTGTCCATTTTTGCTAATAGCATATCATTTTTATTACTATGGCTCTGAAGTATATCTTAAGATCTGGAATAGAAATACCTCCAGCATGGTTTTATTTTTGCTGAGGATTGGTTTGGCTATCTGGGATCTTTTATGGGTCCCTATGAGTTTTAAGATATTTTTTTTCCCCTACTGCAAAGAATGAGATAGGGATTTTTATTGGCATTGAATTGAATCTGTAAATAGCTTCTGGTAGAAGAGCTTTTTTCACAATATTAATTCTACCAATCTACAAGTATGGGATGTCTTTCCATTTTCTATTATCTTTTTTTATCTCTTTCTTCAAAGGTTTAAAATTTTTATTGGAGAGGTCCTTCACTTCCTTGGTTAGGTTTATTATACACCAACAATAAACATACAAAGAAGGAGATCATGGATACACCCCCATTCACAACAGCCCTCAAATAAAATAAAATATCCTTGTTCTGTTTTGCTTCTCAGTCATAATGTGTTTCACCTCACCTCATGCTCAGGCAATAGTATGCTGCCTTGCCATGGGCCTGAAAAAAAAATGAAGACAGTCAATCAAAATTATCAACCCAAATAAATCTTCCTTCCACATACATTCTTTATCTTAAGTATTATGTGATAATGGGAAAAAAAACCTCAAACCAACCAAACAAGAACTAACACAAATGAATTAGAAATAAGGAAACATCTCAACTTTTAAATGAAGTTAACATAACTTCAGTACCAAAATCTGACAAAACAAAGTCAATCAATTTTTTTAGAATTATAGTTACAGAATCCTTAGACAAACTTTTAGCAAACTGCATCTTACAATGTACTAAAAATTAATACCTTATATTATAAATGGAGTTTATCATGATGACTCAAAATTAATTTGACATTAGAAAGTGAATTAATATAAATCACCATATTAACAAATAAATGAAAATGATAGATGATCTCTATCTATCTAGAAAATCCATCTATTTGATTGAAAATTCACACCTATATTTAATTTTTTAAAAAGCTTTCAGCTAACCAGGAATATAAAAGAACTTTTTTTAAAGCTGTTAAGGTTACAGACTAATAACTATAAACCCAGTTCCAGGAAAGGATTACCTGTTTTAGAGTCGCTGGCCAGTAAAGTCCCACAGACCTCCAGATATCACAGAATTTGACGATAAGCCCCTGTTGCTGAAGATACTGCATACTTGAGTCATACAGCATAGAAAAACCAAGTTGGTCACTGACCTGGAAGCCTCATTCCCACTGGCTCGCTTCACAGTGCCAGAAAGTGCTGAGTGCTACCAGGGGAGAGAAGTCATCGCCAGTCTCACCCAGCTGCGCACCTCTGGCTTATAACAGCGACAGCCTGACGTGACCACTGGCTCTATCACAAATGTCTTGGGGGTAACCCACCACTTTCTGGTTAGATTTAAGGCCCACTCCACAAGATAAAACCTATACCTAACAAGGTTATTGGAACCAAGAACCTGTGACTAGACGGTAGGTTCTCACGCCCTTCTTCTTCTAAAGGGACACAGTGGTAAACGGACTTCTGACGACTTACCATCGTAACCGTAGATGAATGCAGCCCTCATCAGAGGAGCTTCTGTTTGTGGTAAATGGCAAAGAATACAGAGACCTACAACTGGTCATGGTGCAGAGAATGAGAGACTACAGAACGCTCAACCCTGTAGGAAGCATCTGTACCACACTGCCTCCTTTCAAGGCTCCGGGATTATTGCAGAAGAGGAAGTGTAGAGGTTGTAAGATCCAGAAGGGGTATGTGGCTTACGGGTAAATAGTCTTTTCCAGACACAACAGGGTAACTGCACATATAAACTCACAGAAGTGACAGCATTCATAAGACCTACACAAGCTCAAGCCAGAAAAAACCCCAGCAGAGCCGGGTGACGGTGGCGCATGCCTTTAATCTCAGCATTTGGGAGGCAGAGGCAGGTGGATCTCTGTGAGTTCGAGGCCAGCCTGGGCTACAGAGTGAGTTCCAGGAAAGGCAAAAAGCTACACAGGGAAACCCTGTCTCGAAAAACCAAAACCCAAAACAAAAACAAAACACCAAAAACAAACAAACAAACAAACAAACCCCCAGCATGGGAGGGAGATGGTCATGAACTCCTACCCCTAGCTGAGGTGCCATTGACAATTGGTAGGTGCTGGGAGAGGGCGCATCTCTTTAAGGATGTGGTCCATGGTAGGTTGGCCACACTACAGTGGATGGGCACACACCCGGGAGTCTAGGGCGACACAAATTGGACTTGATGAGTTTTTTTTTTTCTTTTTTCAAGACAGGGTTTCTTTGTGTAGCCCTGGCTGTCATGGATTCACTCTGTAGACCAGGCTGGCCTTGAACTCACAGAGATCCGGCCAGCCCGCCTGCCCGCCTTTGCCTCCTGAGTGCTGGGATCAAAGGTGTGTGCCACCACCGCCCAGCTAAGGTTTTTTTGTTTTGTTTTGTTTTGTTTTTTTGTTTTTTGAGGACACAAAGTTATGTGGGTAGGGAAGGAACAGTGGATCTAGAAGAAGTTGGGACAGAGAAATAAATATGATCAAGATACATTGTATGAAATTCTCAATGAGCTAATGAAAACTAAAAAAGTTGAAAAGATTAATACAGAACCTTATAGCAAACATCGTCTGTAATAGTTATCATTTAAAAAGCACTATCTTAAAGAGGAGATAAATCTATGAAGGCCACCATCTTTACTTTTATTCAGTATTGTGCTGGTGGGTTCCATGCAGAACAATAGGGCAGGAAATGAAATTGTGTACGAATACAGAAATTAACAATGAAATTCTCTTCAAGTACAGGTAATTTGATCATAGTCCTAGAGACACTAAAAGAATGCGTGAATAGCTTGCTGAATGAAATTCATGGAGTCGACCAAGTTACTCGGCACAAAATCAATATGCAGAAACTTACCTGCATGTCTATCACCCGGTGCGCTACAGCTATTTCCTTCTGAATAACTGAAGCGTTTCTTTCTGGAGGGAAATTAAGAGGCTTGTAGGGCTCAGGGACCTCATGAGGTTTGTAGGGTTCGAGCAACATAGGAAGTGACGTGATTGGCCAGGCTCCTCCCCAAGGTTTGAAAGACACTTTTGCTATGGGGAGGCGTGGCGGCGGTGAGGTGGGAGGTGGGTGTCCTTGGTGGAGCTGATTGCAGGCTATGCAGAGAGCTCCGGGCATACAGTTTTCACGAGGTATCATCCACACCGGAGGGGGCTTCACTGTGATGTCATTGCCTTTGGTTCTCCCATGTCCCTATAGCTGGGTCTGTCACTGGTGCTCTATAGGGGATAAAGATCAAGTTTGTTCACATGTGCTCCCAAATGTCATACAGCATGTCATGGTTTGAATGAGAATGACCCCATAGGCTCATATATTCTAATACTTGGTCTTCTAGTGGCTGTTTGGGGATGATTAGAAGGAGGTGTGGCTTTGCTTGAGGAAATAAGGGAAGAGTGAGTTTTTTAAAAAAAAGATTTATTTATTTATTTATTTATTTATTTATTTATTTATTTATTTATTTATTTATTTATTTATGTATACAGCATATATGACTATTCTTATATAGTCTAGTGCCCTAACCACAGAACGGTATTGCCCACCTGGGCTGTTCAATTAACAATTGAGACAATCCCTTACAGATATACCTACAGACCAACCTTGTAGGCAAACTTTCTTTTCAGCTGCCAGCCCCAAATAATGACAGGGAGACTTGTTAATTATGAAAGCTTGGCCTTAGCTTAGGCTTGTTCACAACTAGCTCTTGTAACTTAAATTAACCCGTTTTTATTAGTCTACGTTCTGCCACATGGCTCAGTTACCGCTCCTCTGTTCTGTATGTCCGACTTGGTCCACATCTCACTGGCATCTCTGTGCTTCTCTTCTTTCCAGAGTTGTCTCCCCCAAGAAGTCCTGGCTATTCTCTCCTACCTAGCAATTGGCCATTCAGCTCTTTATTAAGCCAATCACACTGACACATCTTCACACAATGTAAACAAATATTCCACAACACAACCTGATTTAAATAATTCCTCATTAAGATTTTCTTCCCAGGTAATTCTGGATTGTGTTGACAGTTAAAGCTAACTGTGAGGTGATTTGATCAAATCAGGCTAATTGCATATCACTGTGTGTGTGTGTGTGTGTGTGTGTGTGTGTGTGTGTGTGTGTAATTTTTTTTAATGGTTAGAGCATTCACAAACTTCTAACAATTTTGGAGCATAAATGCATTATTGTTAGCCATATCTACCCTACTGTTCAATAGAAGCCCAGAATTTATTTCTCCTGTCTACTTACAACTTCGTGCCCATGGAATGACCTCTGCTCATTCTTCCCTCTCTAGGCTCTGGTAACCACTATTCTACTCTCTACTGCCAGAGAGTGTGGTGATATTGTGTTTCCCAAAATATTGTGCACCCTAATAAACTTATCTGGGTTCAGAGAACAGAACAGCCACTAGATAAGACATAGAGGCCAGAAAATGTTGGCACACACACCTATAATCCTAGCATTCTGGAGGCAGAGATCTGTCTGGATCTCTGTGAGTTCAAAGCCACACTGGAAACAGCCAGGCATAAAGACACACACTTTAGCCTTTAATCCCAGGAAGTGATGGCAGAAAGTGAAGGGTATTTAAGGCGTGAGGACCAGGAACTAGAGCTGGTTAAGCTTTTAGGCTCTGAGCAACAGTTCAGCTGAGGCCGGGCGGTGGCGGCGCATGCCTTTAATCCCAGCACTCGGGAGGCAGAAGCAGACGGATCTCTGTGAGTTCCAGGCCAGCCTGGTCTCCAAAGCGAGTTCCAGGAAAGGCACAAAGCTACACAGAGAAACCCTGTCTCGAAAAACTAAAAAAAAAAAAAAAAAAAAAAAAAGTTCAGCTGAGATTCATTTTGGATGAGGACTCAGAGGCTTCCAGTCTGAGGAAACAGGATCAGCTGAGGAATTAGCAAGGTGAGGTGACTGTGGCCTCTTTTGTTTCTCTGATCTTCCAGCGTTCACCCCAATACCTGGTTTCAGGTTTGTTTTTATTAGTAAGACTTTTGAAGATTCATACTATAAGGGAGTCAGCTTTTTCTAATTCAATATATGCATGACATAAGATAGTGTATTTGTCAGGGTTTTCTAGAGTCACAGAACATATATATATCTCATATATATATATATGATGAATTTATTGGAATGACTTACAGGCTGCAGCCCAACAATGGCTAGTTGTGATGGAAAGTCCAAGAACCTAGTAGTTGCTCCATCCCACAAGGCTGTGTGTCTCAGCTGGAATCCCGAAGAAGTAGGCTCCAATGCTGACGAAGGAATGGATGTGCTGAGGGCAAGCAGGGGAAGGACAATCACTTCCTGCTTCCACTGTCCTTACACAGGCTTCCAACAGAAGGTGTGACCCAGGTTAGAGGTGTGCCTCCCACCTCAAGATCTAGATTAAAGGCTTGTCGTCTTCCTGCCTCAAGATCCAGATCAGCCAGGCAGTGGTGGCGCACGCCTTTAATCCCAGCACTCGGGAGGCAGAGCCCGGCGGGTCTCTGTGAGTTCAAGGCCAGCCTGGGTTACAGAGTGAGTTCAAGGAAAGGCGCAAAGCTACACAGAGAAACCCTGTCTCGAAAAACCAAAAAACCAAAAAAAAAAAAAAAAAAAGATCCAGATCACAAGTGTGCCCTCCATTTCTGGATTGTAGTTCATTCCAGATATAGTCAAGTTGACAACCAAGAATAGCCATCGCCAATAATAATTAAATAGTATCCAAGATATACAGTATATAGGAATAAATCTCATGAAAAAGGACATGAGTTAAAATCGAAATAAATGGGAAAATATAGAAGCTTAATTTACATAACATGTGCATTTAATGTTTTTCACCCCCAGGGGTCCTGGAACTATGTCACATTTTAGACTACTCTTGTTCTAATATAATTATTTCTCACTAAAATATTACATTAAATAGATAAACCACAAAACGTGATATCTTAACATTATAATCTTAGACAAAATAAATATTAATTTACTTTATTCGATGTCACTGGGAACAGTTGGTGAAAATATCACGCTTGGATGAAATTCTATCAAGACAATACTGCGGAGATTGCAGGTGAACACAATGAACATTTTAGCATATCAATGAGTTGACCTTTCAGGGAAAGAATTCGCAGACCAAGGTTCCTTTAAAGGGCTTGAATCGCTGATCTCTTTCAAGAGCTTTTGAATATTCATGTGAAGGAACATCAGACATCTCAAACTCCAAATGTCTATGCCTGGCTTTCGTCCCTTAGTATGCACAGATGGTTATTTTACCTAAATGTCCCAGTCAGTACATTCGATTTAGTGAGACCGACACTGGGAGATAATGGTAGCAGACTGATGAAGGGTGGAAGAATTTCTCCACACTTAGACCAAGTTAGAACACAAGTGTCATAAACTTCAATTTTATAGCAGGTCAAGGTTTTCAGGAGTAGAGGAGCCACTGAGAACCAAGGGAATGGCAAAGTTTTGGGGGTTGTTCAGAACTGAAAGGTCAGCTGACTCAGCAGGCTGCAGGGTCTTGGAAAAACCTGGATGAGTAGATTGGAGTGGAGGGTCATTCTGCGTTAAAGAGAATTGTGATATGGAAGAGGTAGAAAGCATGATGGCTTCGAGAGGAGTCATTTCTAGCTTCCTCCATCAGAGAGACCTTCCATCTAAGCTTAATCGCCCGATGGGAGCACTTCCGGTCCTACGCAGTGTGGGTGCTCAGCTTCTGATTACTGCTGGTTTGCGCATGGCATGGTGATGTGAGGAAATGTTTGGTGGGGTCACCATGCACTTCAGAAACAGAGCCCAGAGGTCCCCGAGCTGGAGCTGGCCTGAATGCCCCTCCCTGAGGCCTATCTCTCATGGTATCAGAGGTGCCATGCAAGCTTCCGAAGGTGGGAGGCAACAAACAGCCCTACCCAGCTCAGACATCTATGAACCACATCAACCACCAGCATGGCTCCATAACCCCTCGGGGCACAGCAGTGGCACACATACCCTCTGGTCACCAGCAGCTCTCTAATTGGGCTTAAGACCCACCCAACAAGAGGGAGACCATGCTTGGTACTGGAAACCTGGCCTACTACTCAGTGCTAGTGGATTCATGGCTAATGGGGGAGAACCTACAACCACTAAGTTGCCAAACCACCCTAATCCCTCCCAGCAATCTGTACATTCATCCTTATATCCATAGACAAGTGTAGTCTCCACCTCTCATCAAGGAAACGCCTCCTTACAATAGATGGGGACCAGTACACAAAACCACAACCAATCAGTAGGCAGAGTTGTGGTGCCCCGTCCCAGTGGGTACATCTACAGAACTCTCCCACTCATAAGGCTCAGGAGACATTGCGGATGATGGGGCGTAAAGATTGTAAGAGCCAGATGATCAGGGACTCTTATGAGAGGTTGTGTCTTCTAATAACACCAGAAGCTACACTTGTAAAATCTCACCAACATGACCGCCTAAACATGCCCAAACAAGGATGATACTAATGAACATGTCAAAGTGGATGGAGAAAAGCCCATGGGGCCTCACCACAACACAAAGATTTATAGGCAACTGAGTAAAGCTGGGACCAGAAGTGGTCCTCCCCAGGGAAGAGGACACCATTTGATTGTCTAGTGTCAAAAGGTCAGCCTGCAAACATATATACAAGTAATATATGGATGCAACAGGCTATATTTGGGTATATATATATATATGTATATATAATATAATATAAATTATGTACATGTATATACACATGTCTGTATATATTATATATACAAATACATATATGCAAACAATAATCATTGATGAAAATAGAGACCATGAATTTGAAGAAGCATGGGGAAGGATGTATGGGAGGTTTTTTGAGGGAGGAGATGGAAGGGAGAAAAGTAGTTAAATTACAGTCCCCAAAATAAACAATAACAACAAAAAGGTGAGCCAGGAGGGGACCAAGTTCTCAGTCATATTCAAGTGATCTGAAGACCTCTCACTGTGGCCTGTTCCTTAAGGGTTCTGTCACCTTTCAATGGCATATCTTGGATCATGCTTTTTAACACATGGAGCTTCAAGATATAAGCCATAGTGATATCAGAAATTGGAATTTTATTTTCGTAGTAGTTTGGTTGTATTTATCTTGAGAGCATGTATTTGGATCTTTATAGTAACAACTTAGAGGTAGGTGTGTGTGTGTGTGTCCGTCCACGTGGGCATCTGTTTGTGCTTTCCTATGTGACTGTGCAGAGGCCACAGGTTGACACTGATATATCTTTCTCAAACACTTTTCTGCCTTAGTTTTTGAGACCGAGGTTTTCTCACTGAACCAGGAGCTCATCATTTCAGCTAAACTGGTCATCTAGCAGTCGCTGTCATCCTCCTGTCTCCACCCCAAGCATTATGGTGATGGTATGCACAGCCATGTTCAACTTTTTACATAGATGGGATTTTTTCACACTTAACACAGAAAGCCCTTTCCTCATTGATCCACAGACCCCTATAGAAGTATTTATAGTTGCAGGTGTGTGGCGCATCCTTTGACCCCATCACTTTCTTTCATTTTCACCCTAAGAACCTGGCAAGGATGCTGGAGGTCTGCTTATATATGCACACTGAATTCATTAAACTCTAAAGGCTCCACTAATGCTGTAGAGGGCAGGAGATCCTTGTGCTCACAGATAAGCACGAGGGAGACCAGGAATGTTAAACATGCTCTTCTCTTCAACAGAAGGGATGTAGATGTTTACCTGTTTTCCCCAGAAGGCTGGGAGTGGATGTTGTTGATAGCCTGGTGATCTATGCTATCTGCAGGCTAAGCCACACCTGAATCCCCCAGACTGTTATGTTTATCCCAGACTTTTATCTTGAGTGTTGTTTCCCAGTCAGTAGAATCCATCCTTATGAAAGATGTCACATGTACTTTGTAGTTTGGTATCCTCTACAAGATTTGACGGAGACAACACCCGATCCTCCCCAAGACCCTTAGGCTACAGAACGTGTTTTAGTCATTGTTCTATTACTGTAAAGAGACACTATGACCATGGCAACTCTTATAAAGGAAAGCATTTAATTGGGGCTTGCTTATAGTTCCAGAGGTTTAGTCCATTGACCTCTTGGCAGGGAGCATGGCAGCACACAGGCAGACATGGTGCTGAGAGTTCTACATCTGGATCCAAAGGCAGCAGGAAGAAGAGAGAAAGCCACTGGGCCTGGATGGGCTTCTTGAAAACCCAAAGCCCACCCACAGAGACAAATTTCTTCCAACAAGGTCACACTCACTCCAACACTCCAACAGGACCACACCTACTCCAACAAGGTCACACCTCCTAATCCCTTTCAAGTAGCATCACTTTTTTAGGGTTTCTATTGCTGTGAAGAGATATCATGATTATGGAAGCTCTTAAGAGGGAAAACATTTCATTGGGGCTGGCTCACATTTTCAGAGATTTAGTCCATTATTATCTGTGGTGATATATCGTGTACCCCAATAAAACTTATCTGGGGATCAGAGGATTAAATTAGACATAGAGGCCAGACAGTGGTGGCACACACCTTTAATCCTGTCACTTGGAAGGCAGATCTGTCTGGATCTCTGTGAGTTCAAGGCCACACTGGGCTACATGAGAGAAACAGAACCAGGGAGTGGTGACACATGCCTTTAATCCCAGGAAGTGATATGACAGGATATAGAAAAGTATATAAGGTGTGAGGAAACAGGAACTTGCTCTCTTTAGACTGAGGATTTCCTAGAGGTAAGAGCTTGTGGCTGGCTTGTTCTGCTTCTCTGATCTTTCAGCTCTCCCCCAATATCTGGCTCTGGATTTTTTTTTTATTAATAAGACCATTTAAGATCATGTTACAATTATCTGTGGTAATATTTTGTTTGTGCTCTAACAAATAAAGCTTGCCTTGAGATCACAGTGCAAAGCTAGCCACTAGTTATCCATAGAGGCTAGGCAGTGGTGGCATACACCTTTAATCCCAGCACTTGGGATCTCATGCCTTTGATCCCAGTACTTGGGAGACACACACCTTTAATCCCAACGCTAGGGAGGAGGAAACAGGAAGTGATATGACTGGGCAGAGAGAGTAACATAAGGTGGGAGGAGAAAGGACCTGGGCTCCTTTTCAATCTGAGAAGTTGTAGAGGTAAGAGGTGACTTTGGCTGGCTGCTCTGCTTCTCTGATCTTTCAGCTTCCACTCTTGATATCTGACCCCAGGTTTTTATTATTAAGGCCAATTAGAATTCGAGCCACAGTTATCATGGTGGGAAGCATGGCAGTGTGCATGCTTGGTGCTGGAGAAGGAGCTGAGAGCTCTACATCTGGATGAGTAGGCAGCAGGAAGAGAGAGTGAGCCACTGGGCCTGAAACCTCAAAGCCCATTCCCAGTGACACACTTCCTCCAACAAGGCCACACCTCCTGATAGTGTCACTTCCTATGAGCCTATGGGGGCCTTTTTCATTCAAACCACTACATTTCCCTCCCACATAGACTTATTGTCATATCAGAATGCAAAATGTATTTAGCCCAACTTCAAAAATCTCCCTAGTCAATCACAGTATCAGCACAGTTCAAAAGTCCAAAGTTTAAAGTCTCTTTGGAGACTCATATAATCTCTTAACTGTAATCCTCTGTAAAATCAAAATGAAGAAGCAGATCACACATTTCCAACATATAAAGGCATAGGATATACATTATCATCCCAAAATGGAGGAAAGGGAGCATAATGAGGAAATACTGAACCAAAGCAAGACTGAAGACCAGCTGGGCAAACTCCAAACTCTGCATCTCCAAGTCTGATGTTAACACACTCTTCAGACTCCAACTCCTTTCAGGTTTGTTGACTGCAACACATTTCTTTTTGGGGATTGATTCCACTCCCTGTTAGCAGCTCTCCTCGTCAGGTATTCCACAACTTTGGCATCTCTGACATCTTGGGGTCTCCAAGGCAATCCAGGCTTCACCTTCATAGCTTCATACAATGGCCTCTCTGGACCTCCATGCAAAGACATCCCTACTACATGCCTGTCATCTTGGAGGGAGACTTTATAACCCCTGTCTTGTATCTTTGACTCTAAAGCCAGAACTTCAGCTTGGCTGAAGCTGCCAAGTTCTGGTACTTGCTGGGGCTGGAACATGACCCCCTCATTCAATTACATCTTCACCAGCTTGCTGTTTTCAATGGTTTCCTTCATTGCCTAGGCTTTGCTGTCCTGGAATGCACTCTATTGACTAGACTAGTTTTGATCTCAGAAATCCACCCGCTTTTGCCTCCCGAGTGCTGGGATTAAAGACACGCACCACGACACCTGACCCTCAGCTTTTCTTTAGCTCCTTTTCACAAGCTGAAAACAACAACAACAACAAAACAAAACAAACAAACAAACAAACAAAAAACCCTAACAGCAATGACGTGGAAATGAGAAAAAAATTAACAAAAACCTCAGTGGAAAGGCTGACCTACAGAGTGATTATTTGGATAACAAACTATCAAGGTAGAGAGTTGGTCAATTCAGTCAAGATCAATGATACATATTTAATACATATGGGTAACAGCTTTGGAACACCATGAAAAGGCTAAATCTATGACTTATGAGCATAGAGGAAGAATTATTTGCCGAAACAATAAAAAGTAATTTCAATGAGGACATTTTTCAAATCCAGGGAAAGAGATGCTTGTATATATTTATAAGATGTATACAGAACATCAAATAGACAGGAAAAAAAAAGAAATTCCCCACATCCTATTATGGTTAACTCACTAAGCATACAGGACAAAGATGGAGTATTCCCTTGGTTAATAAGAAGTGACCCTCTTTATCTCTTCTGACTAGACTTGTTTTAAAGCCCATTTTGTCAGACATCAGGACAGTGACACCTACTTTTTTTCCTGGCTCTATTGGCTTGGAATAATTTTTGCAGTCTTTTACCTGAAGGCTGAAGGCAGAGTTTTCCTGTCCCAACCACCTGCTCCAAAATAACCGCCAATTTCTTCAGTTGATCTGTTTATTCAGCTTGCTTTTTTATACAGCCCAGGACTATCTGTTCAGAGGGTGTACTGCCCACAGCCATCTGGACCCTTTCACATCAGTCACTAATTAATAAACTATCCCCAGAGGATGGTCTTTCTGGTGTGGCTCTGCATTCAGTTTCCATGTGTTTGTGTGAGAATACTTTCACCTATGTTCATCAAGGAGATCGATCTGTAGACTTCTTTTTTGGTTGTGCATGTGTCTGTTTTGGGTATCAAAGCAATACTGGCTTCATCGAGTGAGTTTGGGGCATTCCTTTTCCTTTTATGGAATAATTTGAGAATCATTAGTTTTTTTTTTTTTTTAAAGATGTATTTTATTTATTATGTATACAGTATTCTGCCTGCATGTGTCCCTGCAGGCCAGAAGAGGGCACCAGATCTCATTACAAGTGGTTGTGAGCTACCATGTGGTTGCTGGGAATTGAACTCAGGACCTCTGGAAGAGCAGTTGGTGCTCTTAACCACTGAGCCGTCTCTCCAGCCCGAGAATCATTAGGTTTAATTCTTTAAAATTAAATCCTGGTAGAATCCTGCAGTGAATTAATCTGGACATTTTTTTAACTTGGGAATTTTTTATTACTCCTTTCTCTATCATTGCTTACTACATATCTGTTTAAATTATTGATCTCATTATGATTGAACTCATCTTGATACACCTAGAAATTCATCCATTTCTTTACATTTTTCAACTTAGAAGGATATAAATTTTTAAAGTGTGTCCTTATGATTTCCTGAATTTTGTTGGCACCTAACATAATCTCCCCTCTTTTCTCTAATTTTATTAATTTGGGGTTTCTCTCCTTTTTGGTTAGTCTGGCTAAGGGCTTGTCAATCTTCTTTATGTTTTTGAAGAACAACTCCTTTATTTTATTGGCTCTTCGTAGTGTGTATGTATGTGTGTGCATGTGTGTGTGTGTGTGTGTGTGTGTGTGTGTGTTTGTGTTTCATTTCCATTTTGTTGACTTTTTCCTTGTCCTTAATAATTTCTTCTTACCTATTGCTTTTAGTTTGTGTTTGTTCCTGTCTTTCCAAAAACCTTAAAGTGCATTATCATTAAATTGTTTACTTTATTTCTCTCTAATTTCTAGAAGATTTATTTTTATTATTTTTAATCATGTGACGTGCCAGTGTGCAGGCATGTGCATGTGCATGTGGCGTGCATGGGGTCTAGAGGCGGGAGGTCCTCATGGAGCTGGAATTTCAGGCGGTTGTGAGACAGTCCGGGTGGGGCACGGCAACTGCATCACTGCATTGGAGTCTTCCGCGATAACAGTACACGCCCCTAACTCCTGAGCCCTCTCTCCTGCCTCCATCTGACTTTTAATGTAGGCTCCTTGGCTGTAAACTTCCTTTAGGATTGCCTTCCCTGTCTCATAGGTTTTTAATTTCATCCTTAATTTTTCATAATTTAATTTCTTGCATAATTTAACATAGTATTTGAAGATTCCTTCTTGTCTTCTTCTGTGTTTTTTGTAATTCACTCACAAGCCAGTAGGTGGCTCTCTTCCTTGACCGCTCTTTCAGTTCCTGCCTCAAGTTCCCACCTTGAGTTCCCGTGCTGACTTCTCTCACTGATGGCTGTGAAAGCCAAATAAACTCTCTCCTTCCCAAGATGCCTCTGCAGCAGAAGGAAGGCTAGAACAGGGGTGCGGTGGGACAAAGGGCAAAGCGCTTTCTCAGCCTCCATGTGTCTTCTCTCCCCACATCATCACCTCGAATTAGCTTCCCTTTCCTGCCCTTCTGATTAACCTCCTGCAGCTTTTGTTCACTGTTGAGATCTTAGGCCATTCAGTTTCAGTGTGGAAGCTGTCCTTACTATTTTAGGATGTTGAACACCTGCTCTGGCTCATGCCCTGTAGGTGCCGGCAGCAACTCGTTCCAAGGTCGCCACATTGTCCTTGGTGGAGAGCCGCCAATCCGGACCACAGATAAAAGGACAGAGGCTGGGGAAAGCGAGGGAAAGAACGGGGCAGACTCACCAACTGTGAGTGAACTATGAAGAATACAGAAGACAAGGAGGGCTCTTCAAACACTACGTTAAATTATGCAGTGCATATCCAGGCTAACGATGACATCGCCAGGTGGAACCAAGTATGGCGGTGCATCCAAGTAATCCCAGTACTTGAGAGACTGGGCTAAGAGGATCAAGACTTGAAGATCCTGCCTCAAGCAAAGAAAAAAAATTTAAAACATTTATAAATAAATATGAGCATATGTCAGAATATTCTAATTCTAATTTGCCCCTGCACACATAAGTAACATGCAAACACACACACACACACACACACACACACACACACACACACACACACACACGAGTATTGCCTGCCAAACATGATCTGATCTGATTATCTTCTTCAGTTGCTTTTCCTTGAAAACCATGTCTGTCTCTTCTTCTTTTTTTTTTTTTTTCAAGACAGGGTTTCTCTGTGTAGCTTTGCGCCTTTCCTGGATCTCGCTCTGTAGACCAGTCTGGCCTCGAAAAAGTATATGTTTGGATATAAACATACATCTATAACTTTTTTTTAAAGATTTATTTATTTATTATGTATACAGCATGTATGACCAGAAGAGGGCACCAGATCTCATTACAGATGGTTGTGAGCCACCATGTGGTTGCTGGAAATTGAACTCAGGACCTCTGGAAGAGTCTCTTCTTAATTTATAAAATAAGTTTCTTTGCATTTCACATCTGCCCCCAAGAATGAAAGTGTGTTACCAAGGCACAGGGGGCACAGAGGTCTTTGTGCTCGCAGACATGCACTAGGAGAACCTGGAATGTTAAGCACACGGGGTTGTTCCTTCAAAGGAAGGAACACAAAACTTGTTTTCCACCCAGAAGCCTGGAATGAACTTGCTCTCCAGCCTGGTGACCTTTGTGCAATCTGCGGCCAGGGACTTTCAGGCACTGGACTGTCCTCCAGATGCTGCTAGAAAACTCGTTTTTCTCAGTCAATCTATAGAATCTATCCTTATGAAAAGTGTCACATGTACTTTACAAAGAGTTTTGATATCGTCACGTCTGATCGGTATTTAGCTTTGTTCCTCAGAGATCTAGGTACGTGTTGTTGTATATGCAGGGTTCAGTTATTCACCACAAGAATAGTTTTCGCGAGATTGTGCTGTGTTTAAATATGCCTAATAAACAACTTGGGGTCTGACTCCGGACGTCTGAACCAGCGTTGATCACTGATACACATTGTGTAAACTGCCTTCTTGCCCTCTCCCCCCCAGATTGTCTCTCTGCTGCCCATGCAGGTCGCAGAGATGTTCCCTTCCCCAAACTAAAGGAAGTCAGAGAAGATCCATCTGTGCTGAAAGCCATCTAGAGATATCATATATGGACACAAAAGAAATTTCATCTTGAGTCTAGTGCTAAGGTGGCCGTGAATCTCATTCCCGGAGTCTGGCAGAGATGATGCGGCCCAGGAAAGGGGTTACCTCTCCACTCTCCAGTGGAGGGAACTCTCTAGGTATCTTCCTCCTAGACAGACTCTGCCTGGGCCAGGTTGCCTCTCCCAAGGGCCCTCCCCATGGCCCCCTTCATTTCCTTGTTGCGGAAGCTGTAGATGATGGGGTTGCACATGGGGGTGATGATGGTGTAGAGGAGAGAGAAAGGCTTGTCTTTGTCAGGTCCATGTGTACTGCGGGGGTTCATGTAAGAGAACATGGCTGAGGTGTAGAAAAAGATGACCACAGTCAGGTGAGAGGCACAAGTGGAGAAGGTCTTCCCCCTGCCTGAGGAGGAGGCTCTGCTGAGGATGGAGGTCAGGATGCGGGCATAGGAGGTGACAATGAGCACCATGGGGCTGAGCAGCACCACAATGGCATCAAGAAAGATCAACTTCATGCTGAACTGAGGGTCCCCACAGGAGAGGGCAATCACTATGGGGGCCTCACAGAAGAAGTTTTCTATGTGGTTGTCTTTGCAGAAGGGATTCCGGAATGACATGTACTCAAGAAAGATGCCATTGACCATCCCAAAGATCCAGGAAGAACACACCAGCCTGACACACACCTGCTGGCTCATGATCTGGGCATAGTTCAGTGGGTGGCAGATTGCAACATAACGGTCATAGGCCATGAAAGCCAAGAGGATGCACTCGGCCACACCCACTAGAAAGACCAAGTACATCTGGGTCATACAGGAGGCAAAGGATACCGTGTGGTCCTTGGTCACCAGATGGATCAACATCTGTGGGATGGTGGTGGTGATGAAGCAGATGTCCAGGAAAGACAGGTGTCCAAGGAAGAAGTACATGGGGCTGTTGAGCCTGGGGTCAGTCCAGGTGATGAAGATGATGAGGCCATTCATGGCCATGGCGAGGCTGTAGAGAGCCAGGAAGAGGCTGAAGAGCAAAGCTCGTGTGGAAGGGGAACTCTGCTCGAAGCCCACGAGGATGAACTCGGTCACTGTGCTGCTGCTGTTCCTCAGGTCTGCTGTCTGGGGCCTGTTGGAGGGGGGGGGCAGGAAAAGCATAAAGGACACAGTTGTGTGGAAGGTGAGATGTTCCCTTGGACCCAGAAGCCCAGCAAGAGGCTTTCCCTGGTGACAGTGACAGTCTGGGAACTTAGCAATCTCTGGTAAGAAAATGCCAGGGTCACCAGAGGCTCTCTACATAAATTCTAGTTTTAGAAGCTGAGGAAGTGATGGTTCCCCTTTAGTCTGGATCGCTGAGATGCTCTGTGAGATGGTGCATGTGGTCCAGGTCCTTCAACATCAAAGGGCTGCTTATGGCCAGGATGCATTCAGAGGGGAAAGAATAAAATAGCTATGCCTGGGGCTCATGTCAGATGAGGGAAGTTAAGAGCTTGAGGGATGGAGTGTGTGATGGTGATAGCAATTAGTTTGTTAAAGGCCATTAGTATGAAACACACGAGAGAGTGTTCTCTAGAGGAACAGTATATTCTGTCTTTGCAGACTTAATTTATGGGATGAAAGGCTTGTACTTTTAAAGCACAGGAGTCAAATAACTCAGATGACAGTTCCTAGCAGTCATTTCTCGATCATTCCAGTGATCCATGCTTTCCCTGACTCATTCTCCTTACTCTCACAAGGGAAAGGGGCCTGGCTGGAGAAGGAGCTTCCTTAGTAGGTGGCACCCTTTCTCTACAGTCAGAGGTACACACCACTGGGCAGAAAGCATTCAACCACTCCCCTGAGAATGGGGAATGAATGAGCAGGGCTCATAGATGTCAGCCTTTCTAAAACTGGACCTGTAGGGAACTATGCTCACCCTTGACCCTGTGAGTACACAGTGTTTACCTTACATCTTTAGGGAGGTAGTATTCACAATCCGTATGCTCTTTTGCTCATTACTGTAACATTCAGGGAAGCACCATGTTCAGATCAAATCTCTTGTACTTTCATCTTGTTTGGATTTAAGATGTATCAGATCCTGCTGAGCAATAGTGGCACATGCCTTTAAATCCAGCACTCAGGAGGCAGAGGCAGGCAGATCTCTGAGTTCAAGGCCAGCCTGGTCTACAGAGTGTGTTCCTGGGCAGCTAAGGCTACACAGAAACCCTGTCTCAAAAAAATAAAAAACAAAAACAAACAAAATACGTATCAGCTCCTTTCTATTTAACACATGTTTCAGATGGCGGTTGAATGTCTGCTGAACTCTGTTCTTCAGCATCTCCTTTCACCTTTCCTCGTCCAGTCTCTTTTTGGTACACTTTCATTTTGCCTTTTTTTTTTCCCCGACAGGGTTTCTCTCTGTAGCTTTGCACCTTTCCTGGATCTCGCTCTGTAGCCCAGGCTGGCCTCGAACTCACAGAGATCCGCCTGCCTCTGCCTCCTGAGTACAGGGATTAAAGGCGTGCACCACCACTGCCCAGTCCTCATTTTGCCTTCTATGTGATCTCCTACTTTCATGTTCCCAACTCCTACTAATTCTTACTCCTTTCTCTCCCTGCCCCCCTCTTTACCGATTACCTACCTTTCAGCTCTCTAAGTCGAACTGAGCTCTCTTATCTTTCAAGTTCTCAAATCTCCTTCCTGCCTTGTGGAGGCTCCCTGCCCTGTTGTGGCCCCTCCTTGGAGCACTAGACTCCCTCTAAGTGAGGATTCTTGGTCATCAAGGCATCACCTGGGCCTGTTCCTACCATCTTCACGTTGGAAAGTTCTGGTGCCTAGGACTACTCTGGTGGTCTGGAAAGGGAAGGGAAGGGAAAGTGAGGACACAGTTTAGTACGGGTCCACAATCCTGCACTCAGCAGACGTGTTGGGACTAAGCTAGTGAATGGTTGGGCAACATCAGTTGTCAGTGAGCTACAATCCATAGAATTCTTGGACTTGGCCAAGAAGAAGTTGGAATTTAACTTGAGGACGCACTGAGCCCCACTGCAGGACAAATGCTTGCCTGTAGTTCACTGAGAAGGAATAATATTCTGTGCTGGCCAGCACTGAATGCCTTGGTAGATACCAGTAGCAGCTGAGCGGTCAGGCGTCTGTGTCAAGATGTGGGATGTTGGAAAGCAAACCACACCTACCTCATCCCGTGGCTCTGCTGCTCAGGCTTTGTCACTGAATCACTGTCCCTAGTGACAGAGATGGCGTGGTGTTTGAGGAGGAGCTGCTCCAGGGAGGATGGTCTGAGCTGGTGGGCCACTCTGGAAGACAGTGGTGTCTGGTGACCTTTTCAGTTCTTTGACATCAATGCTATTGTAGACAAATGTCTTCTTAAGCACTATTACCACACTGCATGTGTGCAGCACATTACAGAGCAGGGGGAGCTGCCTGCCTCACATTGCCATTTGGTAATGCACACTCTCATCTGCCTGCTTGTCAGAGTGTGTGTGTGTGTGTGTGTGTGTGTGTGTGTGTGTGTGTGTGTGTGTTTTCAAGACAGAATTTCTCTGTGTAACAGCCCTGGCTGTCCTGAAACTTTCTAACTTTCTTTGTAGATCAGGCTAGCCTCTAACTCATAGAGTTCCGCCTGCTTATGCCTCCCAAGTGCTGTGATTAAAGGCCTGCACCATCACCACCCCACCAGATTGGATATTTTGAACTTCTTGCCTTTTACAATTTTTGTGTTCATGATTATGATTTCTCTGGAAGCAAGATGAGAAGAGCATCATAATAGTGACTTGCAGACTATACAGAGAAAAAGCACTACCCTCAACTCCACTGGTTCTTATTTAAAGACCAAAGGGTCTTTGATCTTGGCAAATTAGCAACAATTTAAAAAATAGTTTATGTGTATCAAGACATTTGAGCCTTTATTTTATTACCTTTATGAGGTAATTTAATCCAATTGAAGAGTCACGGGTAATTTAGTTTGGACAATGAAGTCATACATAGTTTCCAGCAGAAAGAAACAGAGAAAGAATTTTCTGTAAATCTTGTGTTGTCATAGTTGACTTAACTGACCCACTGTTCTGACCCACCTCAGAACCATCTACAAGCAAATTAGAAACTTCCCAAAGGTCCAAGAACCTCTGAAAAGAGCAATTATTTGTACTAGGTAATCAGTCATGTGAGTGGAGCATGGCCATCTTTACTAATGCCCCTTTGGTTTACCATAGGCTTAAAGAGTAGGGAAATAAAATCCATATACTGCTAGAGGTTGTATTAGTCAGGGTTCTCCAGAGCAATAGAACTGATAGAATGATCTATACATACATAAAGGGGATTTATTAGAGTAGTTTACAGGCTGTGGTCCAGCTAGTCCAACAATAGCTATTTCTTGACAGAAGGTCCAAGAATCCACTAGTTGTTTAGTGCATGAAGCTGGATGTCTCAGCTGATCTTCTGTATATGACAGAATCCCAAAGGAGTAGGCTCTAATGCCAGCGAAGGAATGCCCCGACAGCAGGTTATATGAACTTGACAGAGAATGAGAGTAAGCAGGCAGAAGTCAAAAGCTTCTTTCTTCCATGTCCTTTATATAGGCTGCCACAAAAGGGTGTGGCCCAGATTAAAGGTGGATCTTCCCACCTAAATGATCTGGATTTAAGGTGGTCTCCATAACTCAGATGATCTGGATTAAGGAAAATCCCTCACAGGTGTGCCCAGCAGTTTGGGTTTTTAGTTAATTCTAGATGTAGTCAAGTTGACAACCAATGAAGCCATAGCAGAAGTCCTGATACTGTTTTTCATGGGAAGGTAATTGTCATAATGTGATAGTCCTAACCTGTGTCTGTCCTTCAATTACACCATCACAGAGGACAGGATATAACCCGCTAACTGTTTTTTGTAGAATGAGAGACCCATCACTTCTTGTCCATCTGATTCTTCTGATTCTTCTGGGGAGTGGCTTTCTCTAGGTCAGTGGTTCTCAACCTGTGGGTTGTGATTCCTATGGGGGGTGGTGTCAAATGACCTTTTCACAGGGGTAGCCTAAGACCACCAGAAAACACAGATATTTACATTACAATTCATAACAGTAGCAAAACTACAGTTATGAAGTAGCAACAAAAACTTTTTTACAGTTGGGGGTCACCACACACGAGAAGCTGTATTAAAGGGTCGCAGCATTAGGAAGGTTGAGAACCACTGTTCTAGAGCATTCTCGGCCCCTATTTGGGAGGCTTTGTTGCCATCTAGAACTACCAATGGCTAGAGAACTCCAGGTTTCTGTACAGAGACACTTGGAGGATCTGTGATCATAGTTAAATTAGCAACAATTTTCAAAGTAGTTCATACACATCATGGAAGGAAGTATCAGGACCTCTAACAGTGTCAAGATTTTCTGTTCCTACCCATGAAGCCTATGGTTAACCAAAGGAGCAGTAATAAAGATGGCTGTGCTCCACTCACGTGACTGATCCTACCGTACAAATCACTGCTCTTTTGCGAGGCTCCTGTCAAGAGTCCTGCACTCTTCCGTGTTCTGGACTAAAGAAGCACAGGGTTCAAGAGTTAAGGGCGAGGTCTCCACAGATGACCATGAACTCAAAGAACCAAGTGTGGCCTTGCAAACAGACCTGTGGGAAAATGCCTCATCAAAATGTGATGCTTGGATTCTCATCATCTTTACAAAGACGAGTCTTTCTGTTCTGCTATCGTGCTCTGAACACAGGAAACAAGGGAAATACCACATTCTGTTATTAATTAATTGTTTAATAATAAAACAATCTGTTTTAGGAATGAGGTTAGTTCATTTGAGCCTCATATGAATTCACCAGCCTTGTTTAAATTACGTTTATTATTTCTAAAAAAGCTTCAGTCTGGAAGGCTTGACTATCTTCTGGTAGGTATGTCTTCTGGTAATATGTGCCTCTCAGTCTTGTTTACGATCATCTAAAACTAGTTTCTTTCATGCATACTTAAGGCTGTTATTCTTTGGATTAAACCCTTCACTTTATGGTATAGAAAATCATTATTTTCTGGACACAAAGCTCATGTGGTAGATCTAACTGGAGACTCAAGGACCCCCAGAAATCGATAAATCTCTTTCACACTGTAAGATCAACTTCTTGAAGGCAGCTGGAACTCAAAGGTTTAAAACTCTTTTGTTGTTGTTTTTGAAGTTGCTAAGTTCAATAAACTTATCTTATTTTGATTAAAAATTGCTCTTCCTCAAATTTTCTCTTATGAAGCAAGATTGAAATGGGATTGTGCTGGGGG